ATCGTGCTCCGTTTCAACTCGCTGGTTATTTCGGTTACCGCGCGATGCAATTCTTCCCTTGCTTGCATGGCTTACAGTACACTCACACTTCCCATCTCCCAGCGGCCGCAGAATCGCAGTCCAGGCCCGCGTGTCTGCTGCGTCATCGAGCCCCCGGCCCCTATCAGCAGCTCATCGGCGTGATATTCCGCCTCAACTCGAGCGAGGGAGGCAGATCTGAAGAGCTGTGCTTCCTCTCGCACCGAGATAAGAGCGCAGCGGGGCTTGAAAATGGAACAGGGCAACAGCGAGTGAAAGCAGAAGTGAAAAAACTTGCCAGGCCGAGACAGACATCCAGAGTCTTGCCCCTCTATCCCTTTTCAAATCCCCACCCCCATTGCATTTCCCCAGATTCCAACAGTTAGGCATGTAGCGTTAATGTGCATAAAATGACCTGCCAAGCGGGTGACAGTATTACTATTGATATAGTTGTTTTTTTTTTAGCCAGCAGCCATATCACCCTGCAACTCACAACTGGCAGCCCCACAGGGCACACAGAGGGACAGACCACACACTCACGCCAGGGCCAGGTTTCCCAGCAGCCAATTAACCCAACGTCATGGCTCTGGAGTGTGGCAGGAAAGCCATGCAACTGTGGGGAGACCATGCAAACTCCACCCAGACAGCACCCCAGGAATTGAACCCAGTGCCCAGCGCTGTGCCACAGCACTGCCCTGCCATTACTACTACTAATAATTATTAGCACTACAATCACATTTGGAGGCAGTGGACTAGACGCATCTTGATTAATCAAGATGATTGACACTACCGGAGACCAGACGCTTGGGTTTCACTGACAGCTGCCAGTCGCTCAGCTACCAAGTGATTCTGCGAGTTCTGCTTCACCTGCCCAGGTGAAAGTGTGGAAAGTGGAAAGTGGGAGAGAGAGAGGAAAATTCACACAGTTACACTCACAGTGACAGGCAGAACACTCTAGGTTCAAAACTAGTGAAGTTGTGCAGTTGTAGTATCCTGTAGGATACAATTCTCCATTTAATTAAACCAACTTCCCCACCAGTCGGTTGGAACTTCCAGCAAAAACTCCTGACACAGCAATTGAACGACTGACAGTATTGTAAGGCTGCAGTCTCCAGGAGCTGAATGTCTGGACATCCCAGGGATGTGGCCATCTCTGTCCTTCCAACCTGTCCCATTTTCCTTAGCGGAAGAGACTTACACCCCCTTCCTCTGCAGCCTCAGCCCCTCCCAATCAGCTCGAACCCCACTCCCCCCCCCAACACCTCCCCGAAGAAACACCCCACCGCCTTTCACAAAAAAAACACGTCTTTGATCTTGCCGTTGCTTCAGATCACCTGGTGCAGGAAAGAATTCCGACTAATCTGCGGCCGAGTCTGTTCTTTGATCGCCACAGGAGGGGGAGAGGGGCCGAACGAAGCAAATTCCTAAACCGCAGTCCACTCCAACACACGACATGCCCGCCCCCCCCCAAAAAAATGCATTTAAACAGGATTGAAAAAGGCCTGTGATCAACTAGCCTGCAGGAAGACGAAGACGTGTTCTTTTGGGAAAAGGAAAGCAAGTCGCAGAGGAAGAGACGGGTGAAGGAAGAAGGCATTGATCCGAGTCCGAAAGCCGAAAGAGGCGTCTGTGGGGCTATTTTTAGCGCCCTGGCTCCTCGCCGACAGTTGTGCAATTCTGGAGTATGCCACGTCACTGCAGGACGGTGCAGTGGTGAATCAGCCTCTGCTGGAGGGAAGTGCTCCTCTTCCCCTGCCTCCCCCGAAACTTGGCAGAATTTAACAACGTTTTATGGGTCTCGATGAGCAGGGAGCACCTGCTGCTCATAGCTGGCCTGGGCCGCCCCACACCACCGCGGGCTGCGGTGCACGAGGAGCCCACAGACGGCTTGCATGAGAGAGCAAAGCGTTCTCAAGCAGGGAATGCGACAAAGCTACCCGACGCAAGCAATCAAACAGCAGACATACCACCCTGGAACTCACCGCTGGCAGCCCCACTTGAGCTCGGCAGGTGTGAGCCTGGCCAGTACCTGGGTGGGAGCATCCTAGGAAAGCTAAGGCTGCTGCTGGAGGAGGTGTTAGTAGGACCAGCAGGGGGCGCTCACCTTGCGGTCCGTGTGGGTCCTAATGCCCCCAGTATAGTGACTGGGGCACTATACTGTAAACAGGCGCTGTCCTTCGGATGGGACGTAAAACTGATGTCCTGACTCTCTGTGGTCATTAAAAATCCCAGCGCGTTTCTCATAAAGAGTAGGGGTGTTACCCTGGTGTCCAGGCCAAATTTCCCCCTGGCCTTTACCAGTCATGGCCTCCTAATAACCCCCGTCTCTGAACTGGCTCCATCACTCTGCTCTCCTCCCCACTGAGAGCTGGTGTGTGGGGAGCGGACTGGCGCATCACCCAGGTGGGGGCTGCACACTGGTGGAAGGGTGTAAAGCACTTTGAGTGGAGCATCTAGAAACGTACTTCAGAACAAACAGGGAAACTTGAACCAGAGGACACAAGGGGGGGAAATGACGCAAAATGCATTTAAAATCCGAGAACAGGAGGCACTGCTTTGCACAAAGGTTGGCAGGAGCGTGGAACAGGCTACACAGCCGTGTGATGGAAGCCGAAAAACCAGCCCACCTATCTTGCAATGGCCTAGATTGTCCCACCCTCCCCTCTTTTGTAACCTCTTATGCAATCAGCTGCAGGCATGGCTAGGGGCGATGCAAACACAGCAGACACCCTGCTAGGAAAAAACAAACAAAGAGCTCGGCGGAACCTGTCCGAGCCGGGAGCACAGCCACGCCACTGCTGAAGGGTGGGGAAGCGCGGTCAGTCCTGATCAGCAACAGCGTGGCACCGACGAGGTGAAACCAGGGGGCTGCTGCAGCCTCGCTCTGCAAACTGCTCGAATCTTCCCCTCTTACGGGCAGCCCCCAGCGCAACGCAGAGCGACGTGCTCAGTCGCTGCCCCCACAGACACAAGGGAGAAACGCAGCAAGTCGTCCAGTTGGACGGGGCCCTGCAGCAGAAAGCAGGGAGGTTGTGTAAGGCAGTGCAGTCCAGGACTGTGAAATGTGAAGGGGGGGTGGGGGTTATGATAAGACCTTAGGGAGGGACTGGAGTGAGTTGGCCCTTAATCCTGAAGCTTTGCTGCCCTGAGGCAGAGGGTGTAGGGTCAGCAGGGCGGGCAGCCATGTGAAAAAAGGCCCCCAGGCAAGCAGCAGTCAAGAGGAGATAGAGGAGAGGCCAAGTGTCATTAGAATGGTATTCTAAACTATGCCTGTAAATACAGGCCTGCAGTTTACAGCAAGAGTGCGTTTAGGACACGGAAACTCTGAGCCCTTCCGCTCTCTGCTCGAGCAGCGTGGGGGGGTCACACAGCGTGCCCGGCGCGCGCCAAACGGACCGGCCTGCCCTTGGCAACAGCCGAAAAATGCCAACGGCCCTTCCATTTCCATTAGGAACGCTGGAATAATAATAAAACAGGGAAGTTCATTAATGCACAGCTGTTGTCATCCTGCGGCCCTTGTTCTCGGTTCTTATTGGTAGAAACCATTCCAGCAAGCAAGCCCGCACTGCCATTTTGCAAACTTTGTTGCCAACGGTGCACTTTTGTGGTCCATAGCCGGCGTCGCGCCCGAGTCCCGAGGTCACCGCGCTCCTGAAGGTCGGAGCAGGAAGGAGCTCGGGCAGCTGGGGGTCGATCGCTGCACAACGCGCACGGCGCCCCCGCCAAGCCGGACTCGCGAACGAGACGCCGACCACACACACGCGCGCCGGCTCGCACAGCTGCGCGCATCTGGACAGGGGCGCACCAGCACTCGACGGCTTCAGAAACACGCCGGCCGGGGAAAGAACCAGCAGGCAGAACCCAAACAAACACTCCACTTGGAAACACTTTTGTTAAAACAAAATTCGGCAGGAACTAAATTCCTCTTAATCCCTAGACTGCTACACCAGGAAAGGCTGCACTGCCAAAAAGCTTTTATAAATTTTCTTTTCAGCATGTGACTGAGCTCTTTGTTTCTCTGCAGATCTCCAGGACCCATCATAAAGATCTGCAACGCTTTTATTCTTTGACAGAATTCATAACTTGAACTTGAACTTTATTGCCATATGTAACCGGTACTGGTACAATGGAATTCTTACTTACAGAAAGTCTCTCGACTGTAAAACAAGTGTCTCTCTCCGCCTTACAACCTCTGAACTGATAAGACCAGCACTGCCCAATACACAAGATAAAATCTCACCCTGACATAGTTGGTACTCCCATAGTACTGCATTCCCCCCTATTCCCTATTGTTTCTTGCACTTGTATTTCTTGTATTTTCAGCTTCAGGGTAAACTTAATGCATCAGGTTTCCGTCACCTTCAGCTAGTTATACCATAATAGTCCCCATGCAGGCCCGGCGTCTGCGGATCTGCATTACAGCTCAGCTCTGTTAATTAGACCAGTTCCCCCGCCCAGAAAAAACTTCTACCAGCTATGTGAGCGCTGCTGCTGCTTGAAAGAAACTCCGAAAACCTCCAGAAACGCTGGTCCCAAGCTAAAGCACCTAGTCCACTCAGCCTGTCCGGCACGTCTGTGGGAGCTCGGAGGAAACGGATGGACCTAAGATGACCTCCCCCCGCCATGAGCGCACAGAGAGAACATGCAAACTCCACCGAGACAGACACCTCAGACCCAGGGGCGGCAGCGCTCACCGGCAGGCCAATCGCGCGGCCCCCGGGAGAGCACCGATCTACAGCCTCGGAAAAAGACAAGCGTGCCCGATTTGCCGGTTGGTGCTTTCCCTATCCCTTCTCTCCCAGGTCCTCCGAGAGCCCTTCAGTTGAGACTCCGGACTCCCTCGCTGCCCAGGCCAGGTCGCCACTTCCAGGAGAGAGAAGCGCAGCAAGAGACTCAAAACAAGGAAGCCGAAGAATTTGCATGAGGGAGGAGAACCGAGGGGTGGGGGTGGAGCTGGAGGAGGAGCTGGTGCCGCAAGCCGATAGCAGAGGAGAGCGCGAGTAGGGGCCGCGCAGTTGTGATGAGACCGAGCGGCGCTGGCGACACCTGGCTCTTGGTGTGCGCCCGCCCCCTGTGCTACTGCCTCGGATTGTCTGCGGAGCCCATGGGCCAGCCGCTGGGAGAGTGAGAGCCGCACAGCGAGGACAGCAGAGGACTGACGGAGCTCCTGACCCACAGCCCAAGGTAAGTCACCCACCTTGTCCCCTTCCTCTCTATCTCCCTCTGCTCTTTCTTCCTCTCCCCTCTGCAAGAGCAGCATGCACTGAAGCCAGGAAGTGGAGAGCACATCTTTCTCTGCACTTCTTCGGCGCACGCAGGGTGTCCGGCCGCCACAGACCCCCCCCCTCCTCTCCCACGTCTCGGCACAAGCTTGTGCGACACTGTTGTGCGGAAGCGTGTTAGGCGCTGCTGGTGCGCTAGTGCCCTTGCGCTCGGATGTCGAACCGGGACCCGTTAAAAAGGAGAGACGCAGGTGGAGCACCGTGCGCAAGCCCCCCCCGAGCTGCAGAGAATTTCTGGCAGCGGGAGAGGAAAGGGTGATTCTGACGAGGCACGTGAACCGATTTGACACCTAGGAACATCGGGGATGAAAGGAATTGTGCAGCATCGCTGACCCCTCTCCTTTCCATCCAGAACTTTTTCCGAGTTGGAATCCAGAAGCACGCTATAGCGCAGACATCTGAACACACGGCTTACAGAGTGTCAGCCATCATCACTCACAGCCTTGCGTCACTTGTCTGCCCTGCGTATTTAATCCAAAATGAAGAGGCTCTGTATTAGTACTTACTGAACCTTAGGAGTCTGCACAAGAAGTTCCCCCCACCCGCCTTTTTAAAAACACAAATTCAGCTGGGGCTTTCAGTCATAAAAAACCCTCAGGAGTTCATCCTGCAGTTTATTTTGTGTGTGTGTGTGTCTGCCAGCAGCAGGACGGAAATTCTTCCCGTGCCTCAACATACGCGTGCTTATACTCCTCCAGCTCTTTTTCCTGGGCTAAAATCGCATATCGTCCTGCAAACGCAAGAGTAAATATTTCACATTGTTTTTTTTAAAAAAAGGAAGCCAGCAGCAAACTCTGCAGGAAAGCAAAGAGGTGTTTCCAGCAGAACTGTAGAGCGCAATTTTTTTTCTTATTTTCCCCCCCCCCGACTCTCTCTCCTAACTCAGATGCAATCTTTGACTATTTCTGCAGACTTTCAGCTCTGCCCTACCTACAGCTTCCACTGTTACAATGTCGGCTCTGATGAAATCTGCACCTGAACTACTTCAGAGGTTTTTTTTTTTAAAAAAAAAAATTCAAGAAAATCAAGGAGCAAGAGGAATGTGCTCGAGGCCTTCCCTACCGTCTCCCCCTGGGGCTGACTTCAGCTGGTTTGGTGGTTACTTCACACACTTCTGTTTTAGGCAACAGGGAGCTGGTGTCACATTGCAGCTTGCGCCAGACTTCAAAAGAGCACAGCTGGGACAGGGGCTGTGAAGTGCACTACATCTGCGAGTCTTCAAGCGCACGATTGTGTAGCGCGTTCCTACAGAATCGGGGGCCCCTTCCACCGCGGTTTTATCATCTGGCCCGAGACATACGACACAGCACCTCGAAACAGCCGCGATTGCACGGCGCTTCCTAAACTCTAAACCCCCAAGCTCTGGAACTCTTTGCCCAAGGATATTAGAGAGTCACCTTCTCTAAACTCCTTCAAATCCAGACTCAAAACCTTCTTCTTCAGAAAAGCCTGTGCTTAACTGGTTCCATTCTTCACCCCTCTGCTCTTCTTAATACCACCTTCCATGGTCTCCTCTATTGTTATTGTTGCAATTATAATTGTGTCCTGTCTTGTGAAATCTTATTTATTGTTGTAGTCTTCTTATTTATTGTTATTGTCATCCTGTAAAGCACTTTGAGAAGCCACTTTTAAAGGCGCTATATAAAATAAAGTTTATTATTAAACCGAAGCTGCGATGGCGGGCACACCCCACCCTGCGGGCACCTGCCCCCTACGACACAAACCCGAGCCCTGACCCACTCCATCGGTCGGTCGATTCTTTTGCGCCCGGTGCCAGTCCTTCAACGCGTCGGGCTTTACACTGCCAAGAGAGCAAATACTGGCAACTAGCAACCCAATAATAATAATAAACTTTATTTTAGATAGCGCCTTTAAAGGTGGCTTCTCAAAGCGCTTTACAGGATGAAAATAACAATAAATAAGAAGACTACAACAATAATTAAGAAGATTTCACAAGATAGGACACAATTATAATTACAACAATAACAATAGAGGAGACCGTGGAAGGTGGTACTAAGAAGAGCAGAGGGGTGAAGAATGGAACCAGTTAAGTAAAGGCTTTTCTGAAGAAGAGGGTTTTGAGTCTAAATTTGAAGGAGTTTAGAGAAGGTGACTCTCTAATATCCTATCCAATGAGCAACTAAATGAGGCCAAGCACACCCCTCTCACGTGTTCTTCTGCAATTTTAATCCCCTTTAACTCGGCCTCTGCTTTCGGAATCCGAGGTTTAAGCACAACCAGATTCTACCAAGTCACAGGTGACCCTCCCCCTGAGAGATCCCAGGTGCTCACACGGACCCTGTGTCTCGGGTAACGAAAGCCCGGTCGTACCACTCAGACTGCGGCGCATATCTACTGCAGTACGTGCTCCGATCACAAGGAGCGAAACGGCAGCGTGCGGGGGTTTATTTATGGCTGGAGTGACCTCCATTTGCTTTCAGCAGTGGCCCCAAGAAAGCAGTTCCGCCCCCCCTCATTTAGTCCTAGGGCCCAAAATGCTTTGCAGAAGAGCAAAAGCCACCATCAGCAATTCTGCCTGTGGTTAGGTTAGCTCTTTGCAGTTTGCAGGCTGGCACAGACCCAGATAGCACTGTGCTTTGCTCATTGCCTATGGTCCTGTCAGCACACACATTGCATTGTGGTGTCACCTGACCCAGGAGGGCAAAACAATGCTTTTTTTTTTTTAAGCTTGACGTGACTGGGCATGCACTGCAAGCTCTCAGCATTCTGGGACCTCAACACTGCTGGTCTTGCTCATGCCTGGGGCATAAACAGGCTAAGGACTCCCTGGCCCCTTGTGTCTTTTCCTGTACCTGCTGTGGAACTGTGGAACCACAGAAGCCACCAGTGCTGCCCAAACCAGCCTCTACTCCGCAGGTGGGTATTTAAGTCCAGGAGTGCGCTCTGAAAGGAGCACTCTTCCACCACTATCACATTCGATAATATGGCCTTAAAAAAATACTCAGGATGAACCCAGAAACAATCTTTCCCAGGAGGGAAAACCTTAAAGACCCTGGTTTGTGGGACACCTGGTCCCCTATTTTCAACAGCACTCCTTGAGAGTCCTCACATTGCCCAGAAGTGATGCCCCCTCCCCTCTGCTAACAGGGCAGACAGCACATGAGGGTGAGCCCCCCTTCCCCTGGCACCTCCCCAGGAAGGAAGCAGTGGCCACAGAGCTTCTCTCTGGGTCAGAACGCAACCCTGGACGAAACTTTTCTTCCTCCGTCCCCTTGAAGCGCAAAAAAAAAACACGCTTCCTCTTTCGTCCCAGGTTCCAGCGAGGGGAGGGGGGGCGTTGCCTTACCAGCCTCCTCGCCCAGCGCCAGGGCTGTAACAGCCTTCACGCTCCCCGCAGGAAGAGCCACCCTGAAGCTGCTCCGTGCCCCTCAGGACAGCTGATCTTGACACCCCACAGGGGGCGGCGCACTGCCTGCGGTAATCGCACACCGTTAACCCCGCCGCGCCACGATTACACCTTGCAGACACAGCCTCACGGGACAGGAAGCACGTTTCCCCACCGGGCTCGCGGTCTCCGTTCAGCAGAACGGCTCGGACACAAGACGAACACGTGGCCGGGTTCCTCCTGGGTCACACTCCCCCCTAAACTCTACACCCGGGGTGACCTGCGCTGGCACCCCAATGCCACAACCCAGCAGGTCCCCCTCCTCCAATGTGAAGCGCTTTCAGAAAACAACAAAGTCCTTGTGTGTTTTTATAACCGATTCAGGGCTGGTGGTGGTTTAAAAGAAAAAGAAAAACGCGTTACAGACCGGACCTCAGGGCACAAATATTTTAAAAAGCACCTTAAACGCCTAGACACCCACGTGTTACTCTCTAGAGCCTGTGACATTTTCACATTTTCGCCTCTTGCGCACGGCTGATGGAATGTAAATGTAGGCGCAACGGTCTTGCGACACCTTCGACACTCAAGGTGCTATGTTGTTGCTCAAGCGGTGGCTTAAGCACGCTCACGCAACATCACAACAACGAATGAGTTTTCATTCATTCATTCATTCATTCAACCGACACAGAGCTAGATGCGGCACCGACAGCGGTCGGCCCGAATCCATACTGATTTTTTTCCCTCCCTCCCCGCCTTTGCCGGAACGGGAAATGACGTAAAACAGCTTCCGGAACAAGTGGCCACGGCACTACGGAGTAAAACAAAGTAACCAAAACATGCAACACAAATAATTTCTCTAACTTACTACCTCCTAGAATGGCACTGTCCCATGTTGATGCTTGTGGATTTCAATTTGCGGTGGTATTAAGCAGGACAACTCTGATACGCATTTTACAGTACATGCAAGTCAATCAATTTAGCAGCGTTACTGGCGCTCACCTTCCGGTGAAAAACTTCCTTCTTCTCCGTTTGCCCCCGGCGAACTCTTCAATAACGGCCACCGCAGGGCGGAAAAAGCCGTCGCTGATAATCACGGCCCACGCTTACAATATCGCTGGAGCAATAATTTCCCCTCCTTCGCTGTTGAGCAGAGGTGCCCTCTTTTTGAGAGTGCGTGGACAGTAGGAGACAGGTGTCCACGGGCAGTGCTAGCTGAACTCTCTGCAGGGCTCTTTGTAAATCTTCTGCGGCCTCACACTAACATTTCAAGATTAAACTACATGTGAAATCCAGTCTCAGGTGACTGGGCGGCACCACGTGTTTCGATCAGGAACTCTTGGTGTAATTGGAGCTGACTGCCCAGTTAATCAGTTCAATTAGTGACAATTGCCACCCGAAGAAGGCTCCACAGCCGAAACGTTGTGTCGCTTTTCTTTTCAGCGAGCAATAGACCTTCACCCGTTCCTTTACAGCCTGAGCATGTGCCGATGCAGCTCCCTTACTCAAGCAGTTCCATTCGTTTCACCCTGACGCCTCCTTCCGTTATAATTTCGTTCCAGCGCCCCTGGAACCCACCTTTAAAGACAGAACAAAGTGAGCAGCTGTGGTCAAGATTGTGCACGGCCCCGGCTCTTGAGAGCCGCAATATCCGGTGCAGCGGGACTCGCTCCGCCAGCGATGGACGAGGCAAAGGTGTGTCACCTAGTGACACGGAAAATCAAATCTAACTCGACGTTCCAAAAACAAACAAAAAAAAAAACAGGAGGGAGGTGTGTAAAAAGTATTTTCAGTTAAAATTCTCATTTCGGTTTAAAAATATGCCAGCATATCTGGCAGAACCTCTGCTTAAACTCTCGGGGTCCTCGGCGACGCGGGCCCAGTTTGTGCCCGTGTCTTTTAATCGATTTTACGAGCACGCGTGCTCCACCTAAAATAATCTCACATAATCGCTGCCCCCACACACCCACCACACGCACACGTTTAAAACATCTTCCCCTGAGGTCAGGTGCGTTGGCAGCAGTTTCATCGCTGGGAGGAAAAAAAGAAAACGAAACGAAAAACAAACCACTAATTTCGCTCGTTTGCCTGAACCGGCGACACAGAGTCGCGCTGCCCCGAGCCCCGCTCCGCCGTGCCAGCCGAACGTCAGACTCGGCCACCCTGCACACACGTCGCGTCGCCCAGGTCGCCAGCAGCTTCTCTCCCACCCAGGGGAGAGCTCGCACGCTGTCGCCACAGACGGGCATGGAGACACCTGAACGGACGGGGGAGATGTCACCCCCCCAAAAAAAGAAATTAGCCCACACCGCGTTTTATTTGTGTGGGGAGGGGATGGTTCAGGCGTGTTCCTCGTGACAGAGCTAAAACCTCAGACACTTAGAAGCTGCGGTTCATAACTTGGGGTACACCCCCCCCCCCCGGGGGTGTGAGATGCTCTTTCTGGGGGTGCGAGACTTTTTTTTAAAAGGTTAAACCACGCAAAATTAAGCGCAGGCTCCTTCCATAAGTGCAACTATTTTGTTTCACCCAGCCTGGGTATTTCGAGGTCATCTTTAAAAAGAGGTCGTTGTTACACGTCTTCCTCTACGGTTGTGCTGTATCTTAAGGTTTACAGAAATTGACTTTCTTCTGCGGCTTTGGGGCAGGGGTGCGAGGGGGTTGTTTTGAGAAACAGGGCGGGGAGGGACCCGCGAGTTTTCCCGACTCGACGGAACCTGGGCGATTCACTCAGGCGCCGTGTTACCCGATCTCGCGTGTTGAAATAATGCCCCTATTTTTCTTACATTTGACTTGAAATGGAGAAGTTGTTTATCTCGTGGGTGTATCTATGTAAATTAGCGGCCCCGCGCGTTTCTTAGAACTCAGTTACTCAGCACTTTCTAGGTTTACTGTAAAAGTCCTCTGGTGATCCATCGACCACAAAAAAAAATGTCCTAGTTCTAGTAGTGTTTGAGTAAGCCCGATTCAGCCCCGTGGTTTTCCAGGACTGTTCAGCTCGTTGGTCAGTATTTCCACGGAGGTCCACAAGGAGAGGACGACAGTCCTTCCAGGGCTTGTCTGCTGCTTTGCCCCCACAGACCTGATTTGCCCTGCATCCTCTCCTGTGACTTTTTGCCCCTGGTGGCCTGAAGGGTGAGAAAGCGCTCAGAGCTGCAAACTCCTGACCTCTTGACCCCTGACCCCTGACCTCTGCCTAAACCGGTGACCCAGCTCGGTCATAAAAGGCAGTTCAGTGGAAAACCGAATTACATACGAACTGTTTTAATTCCCATCACAATCTTCTATTCACAGAGTCGTAAAACGCCTTTTGTACAGCAGGGTAGAGTTATTCTCACCCGTTAACGTTAATCTGTAGCAGAAAGCGTAAGAGTTATCGACACTGTTTGCAGTCACCATGGGTTACCAGTTCTCGCCAACAAAACAATCATTTGCGTGCACACACCCTATATCCAAATGGCCACATCTCCTTATTGATGTTAGACATTATTAGACAAAAGTGGTCCATTTAAATAAACCTCATGCACGGCACAAAATGCCCCTTTCCTTTTTTTTTGTTTATTTGCACGCAGCCAGTCCTCTCACCCTGTATCTGTATTCTGTATTTACACACATAACCATCCATTCGTGTTTCAATGACTGGGCCTGCCTGGGTGCACTGAATGTGGCTCGTCACTGTTGAAAACAGGAATCTGGCGAACGTCACGAGCTGACACCTTCGTGCTTGAGTATTTGAAATCTGGAAAGCTCTGCGAGACCGAGCCAGAACTGAGCCTGCACGGAAATTCCAGGAACTACAGGAAATTCTGTGAGGATCCTGTTTATGGGGTGATGGAGGGGACTGGGCAGTGGGAGGGGAGCCAAGAACCAGCTGCAGCAGCACTGCATTGGATGTCCTGCAACAGAGCCAGAGACATCCAAGCTGTCAAAACACAATGGAGGCACATATGCATTTTAAGCAAATGCAGAGCAAACAAGCTTCAGGCGGATGCAATCTGCTATGCAAAAGAGCCCGCGACTCAGTACGGTACAGTTGCCGGAAATTTTGGACGAGGACAGTTTTTTTCTCTGCAGGGAAAACTCAAGATTAGTCTCCCTTGCTTATTTCCATAGACCTGCTCTAGCCGGGAATTTGCATGCGGATACAATGCCCGTGCCCATCATCAGCTCGGTTGCCTGGTGTGGGCTCATATAGATGTGTTATTGTTAAAGCACGCAGCCACTTGGGTTAACAAAAACATCCACCTCGCCTTAGGGCTGTTTGCTGAATGAGTTACCTCTGCCTGCCAAAACCAGTGCTTAATAAGGCTTAATTATTTATTCTGTACATCGTGGTTAAGGAAATGAATAGTTAAGCGTTGTTTCCACCCTGCAGAAGAAACGGACTGGGAGATGTCACGCAACATCAGCTGTAATTTCCAACCCACTGGCTGATAAAGCCAGCAAATCTGTTTTTCGATGGGTGCCGGGGTGGCGGGGTTTTACACTTTGGAGTGTCCATTCCTCCCGTGCGCTGGGCAACGATGTCTGAGAACCTTTCTGACAACAGAAATAGAGCGGATTTCAGATCACAGCACCCCTTTTTTAGAAACAAAGTCTTCTGCGCGAGAACAGGCTTAGCAGGGAGCAAAGAGCACGGTGCATAAATCCCCAACTGTATGAACAGCAAGTCAGACAGGCATGTGCTCATAGCCAGCAGCCATATCACTCTGCCACTCCCAGCTGGCAGCCCCACTGGAGCTCAGCAGGTGTGAGCCTGGCCAGTACCTGGATGGGTGACCTCCTGGGAAAAACTAAGGTTGCTGCTGGAAGAGGTGTTAGTGGGGCCAGCAGGGGGCGCTCACCCTGCGGTCCATGTGGGTCCTAATGCTCCAGTATGGTGACCGGGACACTATACTGTAAACAGGCGCCCTCCTTCGGATGAGATGTGAAACTGAGGTCCTGGTTCTCTGTGGTCATTAAAAATCCCAGGGCGTTTCTCAAAAAGAGTTGGGGTGTAACCAAGGTGTCCTGCCCAAATTTCCCCCCTGGCCTTTACCCATCATGACCTCCTAATAACCCCCATCTCTGAACTGGCTCCATCACTCTGTTCTGCTCCCCACTGAGAGCTTGTGTGTGGGGAGGGGACTGGCGCATCATCCAGGTGGGGCTGCACACTGGTGGCGGCAGTGGGATTCCCCATCACCTGTAAAGAGCTCTGAGTGGAATGTCCAGAAAAGTGCTCTATAAGTGTAAGCAATTATTATTAATTATGTGAAAATGAGCATGCGTGCTCCTCACCTGGTAAAATTTGGTAAAATGGTCAAACTTGCCCGGACTTGTGTGAATCACGCAGGCCTGGATGGAGAGTTTCAAATATCCCTGACTTAATGCCGCCCCCATCTCCCAAGACGAATGCTCGGGTCGGAGGGGGTGGGGGTGTAGTTTTCCCACTTTGTAAAAGCCCACTGGTGTTCAGTGGACATATCCGCGATAATTAACACGCAGGGAAAGAGACGTGATCCTAGATTTCCGAGAGCGGATTTCTGATAGCTGTCGGGATCAGTCAGGCCCCAGGGATCGAGGCTTCACGTGGGAACCTGTGCTAACCCCCTGTCTGTCCGCTCTTCCCTGTTTTCATCTGCCCAGATGTCTGAGGTGGACATATCGGAGAGCCCGATGGAGGAGGAGAGCCAGACGGAGGCCCCAGCCCACAGCCTCTCCAACTTCTCCTCCAAGCTGCGGGCCATGATCCGGATCCGCCGCAAGTACCAGGTGATGAAGAAGCGCCGCGCGGAGATGAACGGGGAGCCGGCCCGGTCCGTCAACCCCATCCAGCGGGCCATGGCGCCTGAGGTCTTCACCTTCGACCGCGCCTCCCTCAGCCCCAGCCTCCTCCGCAAGAGGAAGAAGAAGAGGAAGTCCCGCGTCCTGTTCCCGAACGACAGCCGGAAGTACCTCCCCGCCAAGGAACGCAGCCGGGCCAAGAACTGCCTCTTCATGCTGAGCATCATCGTCTTCATCCAGGTGTACAACGCGATAGAGAACCTGGATGACCACGTGCAGAAGTACGACTTGGAAGGACTCGAGAAGACGATGAAGCGCGAGGTGTTCGGCCAGAGGGAAGCCATGGAGAGCATCCAGGAGCTCCTGACGGATTATCTCTCCACCTACGTCCACAATAAGCCTCTGGTCCTCTCCATCAATGGCCCCAGTGGCGTTGGCAAGAGCCATCTGGGCCGCATATTGGCGCGGCACTTCCGCTCAGTGGTTAGCGAGGAGCTTGTCCTGCAGTACTTTGTGTTGCACCACTGCCCCCTAGAGGACCAGGCCCCGCAGTGCGCCCAGGAGCTCTCCACCCGCATCGCCGAGATGGTGAACCACGGGGAGGCGGAGGAGAAGATCCCCGTCTTCATCTTCGACGAGGTGGAGTTCATGCACGGCGAGCTGCTGGACTCCTTGCACGGCCTCTTCCAGGCCAACCAGACCAACGAGTTCCTGAACGCCATCTACGTGCTCATCAGCAACATCGGCCAGGGGGAGATCACCAAGTTTGTCCTGCAGAACTCCTCCAGCAACGACTCCTTCGGCAAACACAAGCTCGGCCAGGAGCTGGGGAAGCAGCTGAGGGGCAACCTGGTCCACTACCACTCCGTGTGGGCCGAGGCCGACATCGTTCCCTTCTCGCTCTTGGAGAAGAGCCACGTCATGGCTTGCTTCCTGGACGAGATGACCCGGGAAGGTTTCTACCCCGACAGCTCGCACATCGAACGCTTGGCCGCGGAGATCTCCTACTACACAGCAGGCGACCGCGAGTACTCCATGAACGGCTGCAAGCAGGTGGTGGCCAAGGTCAACCTCTTGTAGTGCATTCCTGGGGAGGGGAGGGCAAAGCACGTGGACCCTTTGACCTTTGACACAGGAAGGGGAAAGAGGGCGCTGCCGGCAACGGTGGGCAGGGCGGGCAAACTGCAGGCAAGCGGACCCACTGGAGGCTCGGGGAAGAGACTGCACCAGGGGAGATGTGTTGGCAAGACTTAAAGCACGGTCTTTGTCTCCCGTGCGGGGGGGGAAGGCAGGACAATGAGTCAAGCTGCCAAGAGACTTAGCAGCCATTCTGTAAAGTGCAGAACAATGTTTTGTTTTTTTTAAATCACTGGATCGGAATTCTTTGAGCTTTAATTTATTTAGCTTTGGCCAATAAACCTCTTCTTGAAAAAGCCATCCAGGTGCTGAGGTCTTTAAATACGGTATGAGACTCTGACGCCATGACGTGACTCTGACATGCATGTGACTGCTGTGTTGGCTCTGCTAGGCCGTGACTGTAGAAGGAGCGTTGAATATGCTGGCCCACACGAAGGCTCTGAAGCCCCACTCTGAGCTCTGCAGTGGCTCAGCGCACAGCAGCGTCACGCACCCCGGCGCGCGTCTGAGACAATGCGATCTTGTGTCGAGGGCTGGGCTGCTCCGTGGGTAAAAGAGGCAGCAGAAGTGTAAGTGAGCTGGACGTGAGCTGGGGCGGCCAACGTGTCACAGCTGTGAGCCGTACGGAGAGAAAAGTGCAAGAACCGAAAGGGCCGAAAATTGTGAGCCGTTGCACAAGCCGAGCGCTAAAACCTGTGCACAAAAATTGCAATAAAACTCACCTGGCCTGGGTGGGTGGGTGTTACGACCCCAAGTATCTAGGGGTAAAGGGGTGTTACATTTAGGATAATTCTTTTGGAAGCAGGGGGATTCTGGTGAGGGACTAGGAAGCGTGATAAAGGTAAGGAACTAGAGTGGTGCCAAAGGAAAGAAAATAAACAAAATGGAGCTGGCTAAGACAGTGAGGGAAAGCTAATCTGACTACAAAAGAAAACCCGAAACACACGGTCTTCGGCATCAACACCCTAGCTAACCTGCACTGACTACCCAAAACCATACAAGACAAATGGCACTCACCCGTACTAAACTAGTGTACTAATACAAAATCAACTAAGTGTGTAAAGTGTACCCAGCAACCTAAACTAACCTTATA